TAACACGCATGGATTGAAATATTTAATTAAATTATCTCAAAATAAACCTTCATTTTGGTGCAATATTGAAATTAGCTTGAATTCTTCATAATCTCTGAATAGTGGGTGACCCAACGGGTCACGGTGGTCTAGTACTCATATAAAAATGTTACTGTTAAACAGTTTTGAAATTGTGTACTTAATAACTTAAATCTATGAGGCATGTATGTATTTATTTATTTCTATATATATCTATAATATAACTGGTACCTGCTGAGTGTTATTTCAAAGTTTTGTAGAAAATCTACTACTAATTAGTTTCTGTATTTCACAAATTCTGTGTGAAAAGAAAGATATTAACTTTACCACACACCAATGGTAACTAACTATTCAAGAAAACAGATTTTTAAAAGCAATAATTTACATTTTTTTAAAAAGATTGTACCTGTTTAACTCCAAGCATTTCTGGAAGGTCCATCATGACAGAGCCACCATACACGACAACCCATGCTGCTATATGGGTCAGTACAAAGAGCCACCACCAAAATGGATGATGCAATGTATCTATCTCCCACAATGTTCCGCAGGGTAGTGGGTGCCAATATTTCATTAAAATCTATTGGAATAAGAATAAAAATTAAACTATCACATGTAATTCAGGTGCAAACATCATTTTATTAAATCATACACACCTCTAACAAAAATTAACTGTTATATTTTACTTTCTCCAAGGGGGATCAACATCATAAAAGAAAAAGTGATACCCTACTCACTGACAAATGGTTAGTTTTAAGAAGGGTTTCAACAAAGTTAAAGATTACTCTTTTGTGGATGATTAGGATTTTAAAGTACTCTCATAATTAATCACTAAAATATTCTACTTGTCTTGTAAGATTTGGGGATTAGGAAAAAAAATTGAGGAAACTGAACTGAAGTAATTATTATTTATTTGGTTGTAAATAGTTAAAGAGGCTTACTAGTTGATAAGGGGTAAATTATTTATCAGACTTTGATGTGTGCCTTTAGCTTTGGTTCAAAACATCATTGAGCAGAACAGTTATTATTAAGTGTTGGTGTTTTTTCGCTATCAATTAGTCAAGTATCCTTCTGTCATCCAGTTTTTTCTTTGTTCTTAACATGCAAATGATGAAAATTCAGTGTTAGCATATAGAATATAAGCTCTACCCCTTCAAATCAATCTTGACTACAATTGTACAACTAATAAACTGCTTTTTTTTAAATAATTATTGTCTTGTAGGGACACTGTTAGAAAAAACAGTAGATAGAGAAGCATGGCTTACATGATCATTGCCATATTTATTGGGATTAAAGATGAAAAATAATTTTCATAAATGCAAAAGAAACAAGAAAAATGTTATCAGCCATGGTAATGTGTGTGTGTGTATATATATATATATAAATAGAGATAATAAAAAGCGTGAGCCACTAACTTATTGAAGTCTGGTTTTGTACAGATTAACATTAATCTTCTTCTTGATCTCACATTTTTAGGACAGCTCTTGGAACATAGCTACTTTTGGTCACCACATCTAAACATTTTCAAGAAGGCTTAAGGCTTTCCTCAATAGTTAGATCTTAATTCCTCTTTTTCCACAAAACAATTTTTTTCGTATAGAAAATTTATTCAATAATGAACAGCTCCTAAAAAACTAAAAATACTACTTAAAATGGGAGTGTACTGAATCAAAATTATGCTGGATGTTTTAAGTCACTTCTGCTGTTCGAGACCACTGCATTCAAGAAAGTTGTGAAACTCAGTATCAGACCACGTTTTCGTGTAGAAGACAACGTAAACATTGCAGTGACTTGTGAAAACTATTTGAATAGGATTTTGGATAATCGCTTTCATACTTCATATGTAAATATGGACCACTATATCATCATAAGACATCACATGAGTATCTACATTGTTTTAAAAATGTCATATTGGCCAACATCCAAGTTTCACCACACTGTGTCCACCAGTTTCTTGAATGAAGTAGTCTGAATAGTGGAAGCAACTTTTGAGGAAATTGCCAAAGTCCATGAATGATACATTTTTTCACACTAAATCATAGTTACTGATGAAAACACTTACTTGTAAAGTCAAACAAGTCCCAAGAACATACAGGGAGCGAGCCAACACACCGAGACTCAACTGATTTAAACGTTCCTTGGTAGACCGACGAGCCATAAGCGTATGTTCTCCAACAAAGAAAAGAATCAGAATTGCATCCACCATGACAGCCCACAGAACACTATCTGTGTGTGTATATACAAAGAAAGTACATTAGTCACTTGCTTATACTAGTACATACACAGAATTCATGTCTAAGACCACGTAACATTCCAAGTCTCGTTGACTTTCCTCACTAGTATCCTTTGCATTTAAAAATAAAATAATTATATTTCTTACATGTTTTTTCATAAAACGTGACTATATTATACAATTTTTATCACACTTACAAAATCATTAATCAAAGAATAAGAAAAATGAGCAAGTCTATTAAGTACCTACAGTAGGATTGTGACAATCGGATATTAGTCACAATTAGTAGCTTATACAGCCATCGGAGTTTAATCCTTAATTTCTTTTTATTACTGTTATTACTAGATGCTAATTACTAACTACGTTTTTATCCTAAATTTTTGATGCTGCCATCTCTAGGGAAATCTACAGTTTCTGTTTTAGTATGGGCTGAGATTCAATCCTGGGTCTTCATCACAGAAACTGGTGTTCTGTACACCCGTCTGGGCTTATTAATTTGTTTGAATACCTTAAAGTATCTTCTATCCAACACTGGCTGATTGTGTTATTAGTTAGGTGGATGTATAAATCTTCTTATACCTTATTTTTTCTCCTGTGTGGTTCACATCCTTGTTTTTGTATCATTCCATTTGATTATATAATCTTCTTTGTTATAATGTGCTATTACACATAGATTGATATGTACACAAAGGTTGATGTAAATGGTGTTTTTGCTCTCCACTCAGTCTTTGGGTGGTTGGTTGTGTACAAACTATGGTCGTATTGTGTTGTATTTATTATATATTGTTTACATATTCTCTATACTTTCAGAGAGACCTCCGAGATACAAAACTATGCCTGTGTGTCTAATTTTCTTCCTGCTTATTCTTGGCATTTAACATCTTTACCTTCTTCTTTATAAAGTGTTCCAGGTATCCAGTGATGAGTTGTAATGATGTAGTTTTCTTCCTTCTTAACATCTTTTGTGTTACAAATCTTAATCATTCTTGAAACTAGTCAATCTATGATGCTTTTCTCCACACTATTTGGGTGATTTGATTTATAGTTGATACATTTACCATAGCTTATAAAATGAGTCAGATCAACGTAGGTTGGTAAGCTGTACTATTTCCTATAGATCATTTTCCAGACAGTTCTGCTATGATCAGTGTCTAGCGAAAAGCTTATAAAATGAGTCAGATCAACGTAGGTTGGTAAGCTGTACTATTTCCTATAGATCATTTTCCAGAAAGTTCTGCTATGATCAGTGTCTAGCGAAAAGGTTCAGCATATATTTCCTTTGCAACATCTCAACCAACAATTGGTCCAGTTATCAACGCTATTTTCAAGTTTTGAACAACTCGACTTTCAAGATCTACGTATCAACATGTGCTGATGTTTCCATTTATCAACGTTATATTTTAAGATCTGTGCAAGAACTCTGCTAACAGATGTTTCCGCATATAAAAGCTATCTTCAAGTTTTGTACACCAAAAAACTTTTCAAACATATTAATTATTATTACTTTAGGTTCTTAATATTATACTAGTATTACTACTAATACTAACAGTAGTATTAGTAACATACTTGAATATTGATACTGAATTTCTTGGTCAGCCGCACCCACATGCTTAGAACGGTAGTATCGGAGTATGTCATGTGAAGACAAAAATACAACAAACTGCCAGACTGTCGCAAAAGAAAGAATGAAAGCAGAAGCCGATATTATTACAATAAACAGCGTATTGAGTGCCATAATGAAATCACGCAAAGCCTGTCAAAAAAAGGCTTTTAAACTTTTAAGGCACAAAGAAGTGTTTCTGAACAACCTTTGAGTTTGATTACATCAATGCCAAAAATAACCCTAACGTTATAATAAACAAATACACCTGACGCTTTGAAACCCATACTCCCCCTGTTAATGACAAAAAGAAACGCGCTATCATATTACAAAATAATCATAACAATAAAAAAGTTCTTCCTTATAAGCATAAAAATTTTAGGACCATCCTAAACGAAAATTACATAGTATGCTAGGGAATATAAAATTAAAGTGTTTAACATATTGAAAAAATATATCAGCCTAAATCAGAAATTCACCATTTAAAAATATTGTTACGTCTCCGTTCGTTAGTTAATTTTCCGTAAATTCGTTCCGACGAAACTTTAGCGACACAAGTCCTTTCTTAAATAAAACTGGTTTATTCTTTCCGAATATAACTTTACGATACACTTAATTTCAACAGTCGCGCTATAACAAATGCTTCAACAATGCTCTCTGACAGCAGTTCAATTACTCACTACCTACACACATTCCCCCGTCACGTTGTGACCATCTTATATATACCAGTCTACCCCTAATCTAGTAAATGCTAGGGCTTTCACGAAGGAACAGGATATTTCTAGAAATACGTGGCGTGACACTAGTCACGTGACCTCGCTGACGGAACAATATACATATATATAAAATATGAGTAAGCATTCGTAGTGATATAAGAAAATATTAAAAGGAAGGAGAGGGACGGTGATAAGTTAATGCATGTTGTAAAGAGAAACACTGTTGCTGTTCGGAGAAAAAGAGCAGGAAGTGCCCGGAAATAATATAACAAAAGTTTTTATTTGCTATTTTTTAAGAGGCAAAAGCCTTGAATCTCTACTACAATGGCCACTTGTTGTCCATCAGACCAGCTGAGGTACATTACAACATTTTTGGACAATACAACATAGCCGGACAAGAGTTTCAAAACGTTTAGAAAAAAGTGTTTATAGATTTGTTGACCTAGTTTTTATACATTATGCTGTTAAACGCCGAGCGGTTACTAACGTGTTCCTTGTGCACCAAATATGCTTTCAACTCATTCTATTTGTTATATCATGGAGAGAAAACATGTTTCTCATTCACAGATTCTGGTCACATTAGAGTTACACTGTTCAATATGTCGACAAGTGGTGATTGTTTGCTATTAACTTTTCTATGACCCGTGGTCTTTGGAGTAAGAGATGAGAAAAAAATGGCAATAAGTTTTCTGTTTCGAAAATCAACCTTCTTGATGGGAGTAGTCCTATAGTAACAACAGTTATTCTATTGAAAAAAATAACTCCCAGGAGAAAAGTGAAGAACTCTTGGCTAACCTTACTATAAAGTCATTATAATATCGGTTAAAGGTTATTCACGAGACTGGAATATCAACAAGGTCTTCGTGTGAGTTCTCCACTTGGGGGAGATTTCTATAGAATGAAAGATTCAATAGATAGAAACAGTAGTCTACTCATGTGATAACCAAAGGTCGTGATACTACTTGTTTTGCAAGAGAGTAACCCTCGGTCAACGTCACATCACTCATATGGTTATTGTAAGCCCGTGGGGAGAGAGAACTTTGTGTTGTTTTCTTTGTAATATATGCTGATACTTTTTGATAGGTCTTGTGTGAAAATATACTTGTTGCTAGACTTTAGAGTTTGCCATCGTCTTCGGTAGACTTCAAATTTTGATATAGACTGCCAGACTTCAGACTGAAATTGTATTGTGATAGATTGTCTTATCACAGCTTTTATTTACGAAGATTCGACCAGCCATTTTTGTGAGCCTTATTTATGCTCTCTCTTCAGTCCAATACGTAAACACTTGTACAAGAGTGAACCTTGACTCTTCTTCAATAAAGATAGTGATTGTTTGCAGCCCTGTGTCTGGTATCTTAGTGTAAATACTAAGTCTGACCAGTCATCTTGTTTTTTTTAGGATTCCTGCAGACTACTGTGAGGGAAATCAGGGCAAGTAATCTTAATTTCTGATCAGAGCATGCTAACTGCTTAGAACGAAATTAAAAAATCAACCTGATAATGAGTATAGTTAATTAAATACAGCTTTCTTATAAAGATTAGAAGGTATATTTTTCCTTCACTTGAAACCATTCGTTGTTAATGATGTTCTTAATATCTGAGATTACATTACAAGTAATTCAAGTCAGTGTAATAACAACCATTAGCTCCCTAATCTACGAAATCCACCATGGTGGTCAAATATGACAACATGCACTGGATAGAATGGTATAAGGATCTCCAATATCATTATGGGACGACAAAGCAGGTTCAAAAATACTTGGGTGAAGAATAATGGTGACAATTTCGAACGAAAGACATTATTTTGAAAATAAAGCGACATTCACACACACAAACAACAAAAACACGATAGCTTATGAACCAACAAGTGGAACTAAATGAAAGGTTAAAAAAAATCAAAACAAGTAAAATGCTTTTGCCAATCGTTCTAATTAATTTGATCACCAATCAAACAGAATTAAAACAAATGAAAGAGAGAAACCGAATAACAATACGTTCTAATAATTGACATTTTAAATAATGTTTTTAGTTATTCAATTCTTCTTCATATTTCAGTCTATTATAATTCGCATCTTGAAGCTTCTTCAATCAATTCCTAGTCTTCTATTCCGACCATAACTTCGCTTGAAAATTAGAAAAAAGTAAATATGCGTCGATATATCTAACTGTTTTTCATTATGTATTGGCATCCACATGTGTTACTCAACTTCCATCATTCTCCAAAGTGAATATTTTTTTATTTCTGGCTCAGTTGTCTAATTATTTCCAACATTCACTTAGATTCACCGACATCTTATGATAAGTTTGTAACCTATTGTTATGAAAGATTTTTCCTTCGTCTTGTCTGTTATTCGTGTGTATCAGTACGTTAGTAACTTCCATCCGATTTAATGTTACGTCATTTCCGGCTTATAAAGCTTCTGTGCATAGATTTGACTAAGTTTCATTTTACCTCTAACTTTTAACCATGGGAATGTTCTTTAGTTTTCGACATTTACACGTTCATTCCAATTGTATTTCAGCTATATTATAAAATATGCGCCCCAATGGCTCAACGGAAAGCTGATATTGTTAAAATATATTCAAGTTTTACTTACTTGTTTGTTTGGAATTGAGCACAAAGCTACACAATGGGCTATCTGTGCTCTGCCTACACCGGGTATCGAAACCCGATTTCTAGCATTGTATGTCCGCTGTGCCACTGGGTGGCGTTTTACTTATCAAACCACGTTATTACAGCCATTCCCGTGTATATATAAGTTCTGCAGGGTTAATAGGATAATCCTAAAAAAAAAAATAGCCTGTCAAGCTAGTCAATCAGGTTCTCCAGTTTTTAGTTTGTCATGAATAAAACAACAACAAACTAGATGATCAATACGCCTTAATAAATATGTTCTTAACTATAGTTCAATGCGAAACTCCAAATACGTTTTTGAGTCACACGATTCTGTCACCAAAATAGAGGTTTATATAACGAGCCAAGCGTGGCACAATGGTTAGTGTACGGACTGTAGATATAATCTCTCATGTTTCAAGGCCCGCAAACACAACAAAAAACAATAACAACAAACAGACAAGCAAAAAAAAAATAAAATAAAAAATAAAAAAAACGTTTCGTACTTCTTTGTTGAGGTTGTGTTATAATAGAGATGGTCAAATTCTCATATTCCATTACAGTAGCCTACAGTTTCTTTCTCTCTAGTCTATTACTTTCAAAATTATTGGCCTAGCATGTTCTGATGATTAGAGCACTTGACTTACCATCTGTGGATCGCAGGTTCGAATCCCACCACGGAGCATGTTTGTCCTTTCAGCCTTAGAGACGTTATGATATGACGTTCAATCCCATTATTAGCTGGTAAAGACTAACCCAAGAGTTGGCAGTGGATTATGTTGATTAGCTGCCTTCCTTCTAGTCCGCCATTTCAGAATTAGGGACAACTAGCGCAGATAGCCCTGAAGTGGCTTTAAGCGCAAATCAATAATTTTGTATTACAAGACTATGATTATTGTATTTTTTATCAATAAATAACTTTGGAAAACATAAAGATGTTTTTAAGACTATGTTAGCATAGGTGCTTTAAACTTCACTGCTTTCTTTACTTTCAGTTAAATTCAACATAATAAGCTCAATGCATGTGAGAATATGAGCAAAGTTGAATTTATACAATGATAAACGTATGAAGTGTAAAGTGATATTTGTATCTGTAATATATATATTAATATTTTATATTTGAAAATCAGGATTTACTACTATTCGTAATATTTAACAAGATATATTTTTCACATAATAAGAAAAGAAAATAATTTCCTAACCGGAATAACGATATTTTTTTTTCATGCCATCCTTCACTCTCTTTTATTGTGTTTTTTTTCGCCCTTCTTTCTCACTTTACCATCATATGTCTATGATGTAATCATTCCGGGGTAAAATTTATAAAGTCATGGATATCGCATGTGTCAACCGCCAGTAGGAATACATATCATATGTTAGTGACGATTGTAATAAAAATAGTGCTTAATTAAAGTTAATGATTTTAAGCATTTTTATTAGTTTATGAAAATTATAATTTTTAAAACTTTAATAATGCTCAGAAAATAAGTTTTTTTTTAATTAGTTTTATGCAAACTTTAACAAATCACCCAAAAGAAACATTGACATGCGGAAGCCAATAATTCAGGAAAGCTGTAAATTGGCTTGATTATGAGGGTGGGTAAAAGAAAGGCTTAACGTACTGCGTTCTATTCACCAGTGCTGGAAGTTATAGTTATATATTTATATTATTTGTAACACACTGTTTGTTATTAAAAGTAAGTATATCCATCACTTCTTTTATTTCAATTGGAGTGAATTTCTACCATGATTTTTGGAGTGAAACGGAAACACTGAAAGTATTAATATTAACAATACTAATTATTGTACTTAGTCTTAAAATATGAAAAGATTAAGTAAGAGTAAGAGTAATATTTCATTTTAGTTTTAGAGTGGGGTCTTTTTTAGTATAAAATGTGTCAAATTGATAATTTTTGCAACTTAGTTGATTTAATTATTGAGAATCTGATTCTTGGTAATTCTTATCCTATCCTTTGCTTTTTGTAATTTTATTGGTATGGTATTTTGTCATGTAAGATTAATAATACTAATTTTTTGTGTGAGAAAAATATCGATAGTCTAAAAGTAAAACTCGTACAAAACTTAGTCTTCTTCTGAGATTAGTTGTGACATAAAAGCTAATACTTTTAGGTTATTTTCACAGAAATACTGAATTTAAGTAAAAGAACGTTATTGAAACCTATTTTAGTTACTATAATCTTGAATAAATGTTGATGAGATCACATTTGAAGGACTTTATGCAGTGTTTACATTTTAATTTTAGGTTCTCATTAGTTTTGCAAGTTTCATAACGTAAGAATGATAGCAGGTTTAGGCTAAGCCATTTAAGCTTTTGAGAAAAAGTTTTATAGAGTGTAGACAGTTAAAGAAGATTGAAATATTCTGGGTTCAAAATTGTTAGATGTTTGGACATTCTTCACAGAAGTGTTTTGTTCACCTTTTAGTAGTGAAATGACAAGTTTCAAAGTGGAAACTTTAATACTTCTTGGAGCATCAGTTTTAACTTTTAATCAGAAAGTTCAGTTGATATTCTTTTTATAAAAATTATACTTTGGGTATCAGGTATGTAATAACAATGTTCTCTGACAAAAAAAAATATGATTTGCTAGTTTAAATTAGCCATCAGAAACAAATATTAGCATTTTTTTAATGCTAAACTGCTTACTGTTTTATTTAAAATAAGAAACATGGTATAATTTTATATTGAGCAAAGAAAATTTTTTTATACATTAGTGTTGAAGATGTGAATTTACAGTAATACAAATACAAATTTACACATGATAGAGCTTGCTAATATAGTTTTTTCATGTTATGTTTTCAAACATTAAACCTAAGAATGTACATTGTACAATATGTATCATGCTTTTTGTGCTATTGTATTGAAGCACGGTAACCTGCAAGTTGCTAATGTTTTATAAAATAGGGAAATTCTTTAAGTATTGAAATAAATAGTAAATCCCTGAGTACATGTACATCTGTATAAGCATATAGCTGTTTCCTTCTTTGGCATAAATAAAAGATTGTCAAAGTAAAATATTACTTTTAACACTCAAGTTATTAATATTTATTTAAAGGTATAAATGTTGTACTAGTGGATATGATCTTAAACACCTCAATCAGATCTCTCCTCATCTTTTTTCAAGAGAAAACAGTTTGAGAGATTTCAACCTCTCCTCTTATGATAACCCAGGCACCATTCTAGTAAACCTCCCAGGCACCATTCTAATAACCCTTCCCTGAACTCTTTCTAACAATTTGGTGTCCATCTTAAGGTAAGAAGCTCAAGACTGAATACAATATTCGAAATGTGGTCTAACCAGTGACCTATACAATGAAATTATAACCTCTTCAGATTTGTATTCAGTATTTCTGTAGATACAACCTAAAATCCTACTTGCCCTACCACTATCAACATCTCACTGGTTGGATACTTTAGAGACTGATCGACTATTATACAAAGATCCCTTTCTTTCATGACACTGTTAAGGTTATGCCCATCCAAATTATAATAACCCACATGCATTATCTTGCATTTATTATAATTAAAACCCATCTGCCATTTATATGCCCAACTCACTAAATGATCTAAATCCTTATGTAAATCAGCAGCATCCTTTGCACAGCTAGCAACACTCAAGACCTTAATATCATCTGCAAATTTAAGTAATATATTGACCATTCTTTCATCTATGTCATTGATGTAAATGAAAAAGAGCGAAGGTCCTAAGACTGAGCCCTGAGGTACCCCACTTGTGACATTAATCCAGTTTGACTGAACTCCATTTGTAATAACCCTCTGTTTTCTTCCATCCAGCCACTCTTCTGGTTAATTTGCTAACTTATCCCCTATGTATATAGAGATAATTTTTTCAACCAGCCTTTTATGTGGCACCTTGTTAAATGCTTTCTGAAAATCCAGATACACCAAATTTACACCCTTATCCTTATCTACATAAGCAGTAACCTTTCTAAAGTACATCAAAAGATTTGTAAGGCAAGATTTTTCCTTGATAAAAACCATGTTGACAATCCAATAAAATTCCAAACTCTGTTAAATGGTGTCTATCAGACTTTTCAAAACTTGTAACTTTATACGTTATATTAATTCATTACTTAATTCTAAGAACTCGTGTGGAAGCAAAGAAGAACATGTAATGCTATGTCAACCACACTATATCGTAACCAGTGTTCACAAGTCATTTCACCCAGTATCATGGCTCGTCAAGCCAGCTGGGATACGTTTAGTCAAGGCAGTAAGTTCCACACATTCATGCACCCTGTTCTCTAAAAGTTCATCAAGACTTTTACCATATATTTATCTTGATTTAAACAAAGATTTCAGTTAAAAAGGCAAGTTTGTTACTAGGTGCCTAGTGACATACAAGCCATAAATAAAAATGTAAATCAAAATAACGTCAATATTGTAGTTAATTTCACAAATTACTTCTTGTAGACTATATATATTTTATATATCAAATGTATGAGTTCACCCAATTTTTGGGTCATCTCTTTATACTGAATGTTATTAATAGCAACAACATAAAATTCCTCAGTATGATAAATATATATATATATATATATATGGTCAGAAATTTGAGAGTTGGACAATGTACAAGAAATTAATTTTTTGGTAAAGATTATCATGAGATTTCATTGGGTTTGTATGAAAGAGTGATTTTAAGGGAGCTCATTCTTTTATTAACAGGATATTTAACAAAAAGTGGTGTCATAAGGTTCAAGAAAATATTTTGTGTAAAACTTTATTGAAAGTGTTAATATTTTTTACAGCTTTTAATGGCAAGTCGAGGGGGAGTTCAAAGACCAAATGGAGCATCACAAGGAAAGATTTGCCAGTTTAAGTTAGTTTTACTTGGCGAGTCAGCTGTAGGAAAGTCCAGCTTAGTCCTGAGGTTCGTTAAAGGACAGTTTCACGAGTATCAAGAGAGTACAATTGGAGGTACTAATTGCTTTTTAACTTTATTTTATGTGAACATAAGAAAAACATAATGGCTGGAGACGGCTTAAATGGGTAATGAAGAAAAACTTTAATACAAGTTTAACATGACAGCAAAT